TGTTGAGACATTGTTGCTTAAGGTGAAAGAAGGTATAGTCTTGGCAAAGGTGGCCGCTTCGCTTACCCGGCCGCTTCGCTTGCCGCTCACGTTACTCGATGTATTTTGTGGCATGAACGTACATACGACACTGACTGAGTTGATGCATATGCAACGGAGTGCTTGTTTTTGCTGTCAAGTTTGCTAATTTAATACTTAATTTGAAATGCATATTTGCGGGGTATTTATGTTACAATGATTAATGTGGTTCGTAATGCATCTCATGATGCTTCCGAACATGCTTAGATGTAGAATGATGCACTAGCCTGTCTTGGCCATTTCTTTTTCCCTTTCCCTTCCAACTGCGCTATTGACTCCTTCTCTCTTGTTTCCTCTCATCAGCTTCATTTTGGTCTGCGCCCTCATCATGCTTGGCCAGCAGTCCGGGAACAGGCTCTGCCGGCATTTCATGGATGCAATCTCGACTGCTCAGTTCAGGCACCGCCCTGCTTTCGTACAGCTCACTTTTTCCCTGCTTCCCCGGAAGTTCCGCAACTCTCAGAGCGTTCGATTCCAGTTCCGAAGGGGGCTGCATCTCGTATCTTATTTTCTCGTTCGCCGCTGTCTCGACAGCGTCATGTTGTGTAATATTCTTGCGCTTTCTTTTCCGCATCACCAACCATGCACATACACCGAGCAGAGCTACTCCAACTACACATCCGACAACTATTCCAGCTATCGCGCCAGTCGGCAAACCACCCTTCTTCTCAGCGGCTGCTCTGCTTTCTGATGATGCTATCGGAATGATTTCTGGGTCTAGCTTGTCCCATTTTGCCGCGCTGACGTTGAAAGTTCCTGACTCAAAATCCACGCCAATGTACGCTTCCTGGAGAAAAGCTCTGCCGATTGCGTATTGACTGTCATTGTCAGCCCTGCGGATCGGGAAATAATTGGTCTCGTTGACAAAAATCGGAAAACCTGCTTGCAAGTCGAAAGCAGCATATGGAAGTTGAATAATGGTACTGTTGCCGGATATGGAGATGTCTGAGCCAATCGTCATTGTCACAACGGGGTTCATCGACCGAAGTCGGTCTCTCTGAGCGTCTGACAAAAGATAACGCCCAGATCCTTCATGGTATTGCAACCCAAATGCAGACTCAAAGCGATCGCACACCGACTTGGGGAGCCATAGTTCAGGAATTGACGAGTCGAGGGGCGCAATAATTCGCTCGCTGTTAACTAGAGATAGTGTGCCGTTCAAAGTGCCGGTCGCTACAATGTCGTGTATAGAAACTGTCAACGCTCTGCTCATGTCGGTGTTGATGTTAACAGTAAGTGGTTTTGACGCACGCGAGCTGTCATAACCTCCAAGCACCAGACTTGCTGGCACCTTGGTACCCCGATACGGAGCGCCTGCTTGGTAACCGTACGCTACGCTCGGTATATGCCCCCCATCTCTTAAAGCGACTAGGAACGATGGTGAGTTGACTGTTGTGGAGTAGTTTATCGACAATGGCAAAAGGCCGAGTTGCCCTACCCAGAAGCCGGGCGAAGCGTATGCAGTGACAGGAAATTTGTCAAGCGAGATATTCCCTACTTTGACGTCGTCCAGCCCGACAAATCCATTGCCCGTTATACCACGGACTTTCTCAAGCCCCAGTTCGAAGAGATTGATGGCCTGCCAGGACGAAGACATGTTTGGCTGGAAGCCGGGACTTGGACTTTGTTGAAAAGGTGCTGCACCGCGAGAGCTACCACACGCTCCCGCATCGGCTTGGATTCGCGAACACTCTTCGCCGATTGGTAGCCACACGTTCTGCGACTGAAAAGATGGGAATACTTCAAACGTTTGTGGTGGCGTTCCCACTTGGACTGAGAAGCTGTCGTTGTCAGCGCACTGAGCATGCGAGTGCCTTTCACAGCCTGGTGGAACGTAGTAAGTACCCTGTCCAGCTCCCATCGTTCCCATACCAGCGTCCCGATCCCGCAAGAGAGAGTGGTTTCGCCATCTGGCTCCTACCCGCCTCGCGGAACGCTCACGCTCGCAGAGGCCGAGTGTCTTGGAAAGTATGCAAGTAGTATGGAAATTGTCGAGGTCTACAGAGGATGGTGGAGTGGAATGGCAGGACAGCGGGCTGAGTCTAGACAACAGTACTAGCCACGCCACCCCCAAAGCCCTGCATCGGGTGTGCATGTTGAGTGGACATTAACGGGAGCCTCCCTGCTGTTAGAGAGTACGCAGATCGGACGCCTAACCTACGCTTGCAATAAAATCTTATTGCATCCTGCCTCATTGAGGCAATGCATATGCATACAGCCAATCATAGTCCCATCGCCGAGCCTGCGCCAAGAGCACAGCTTTGGGGGCCAACTTCGAGGCTGAGCCACAACACACAAAGCTGACATGGGATTCGCTGCGCAGAATCAAGCTCTCAGATTGATCTTCTGATCCTTCTGATCCTTCTGCCTTGCTTTTCGTTTCCGTATTGTCGGGCGCCCCTCCTCTTTATCACTCCAACTTTTGGTGGCTGTAGACCCTAACTTCTAGCCTAACGGTGACAATGGCGAGCGCTTTCATAATACTCGTCTACTCATGCTTAATTGGTAATAAACATAATCTCCATACTTACCTGAAGCTGACGAGCATCTTTTAAATAGCTGTGTGTGCGGCATTCACCCACACTGTAGACAACATCACAACTTCGTACACTGTACCCAAGACAACGCTGCCGCCCACCCTACGCAACACAACGGCTCCCCCAACCTCTACAGGACCATGTACAGAAACTACCACAGAGTACTATATGCCGTCGTACTCGCAGATCGTAGAGACTATTACGGAAACAGCAGTGCTCACCATACTGATGCATGTCACTCCCTACCCAAACGGTACTACAGCCACTCGTTATGAAACTGTTCGTGATAAGGCCATGACAACGAGCGATGAGGTGATGATCGCTTTCCCAACCGATGAATCCACCACCGATGAACTCACAGCCACCGCATCCACAACTGAAGAGTACGTATTTCAGAAAAAAAAGACAGTTTAGGTCAACTAACATTGCCAAGTCAGTACAAAGTCTCTAATAGCACCACAACGTATCCCACATATTCAATACCATACCCCACGAATATGAAACCATATCCAGTACCAGGTTTTACGACAAAATCTTGCTCATTTACATCGACCTCCGTCATTACTCTACATCCATACATTCCTCCAACATCCGAGATCGTAACCGCGACAGCAATCACGGTCTCAACTCTCTTCGACTATGACTACCTTACTCCGCATATCCCTATCGTAGATCCTACATCAACAGCGTAAGTGAAGTTTCAGTAGTATGATACAAAAGATTGATCAGATATGCAGTAAGCCAAATCCAGGCTTGGATTCTCCACCAACCCCTTCAAAGACTCCACCAGTCACCACGAAAGATAGCCCAGCCCAACCCGGACCATCGCATGTACAGCCTCCGAACCCACCAGCACAACCACAGGAGTCCCCGGAAGGTCCCCCGGAAGTTAAGCCAGTAGACCCAACACTTTCTAAAGTAGGTGTGAAACCACCCATTACCGGTGCGCCAGGGCCCCAACCTACCAATGACGCCACACCTCCACCAGTTGTCACATTGCCAGGAGCCGGTCCCATTGTAATTGACCCGTCGCGATCTGAAATCGTGATCAGCGGAACCACGACTAGATTCAATCCAGGCCAACAAACGACTATCAACGACGTGCCAATTTCCCTTGACAGCTCCGCCGGGTTTGTCGTGGTTGGTGGTACCAAAACAATTGGACTGCCGCCGCCAATGACCCCAGCACCCATCGTAGCACCCGTTGTTATTGGCGGTACTACTGTGGACATAGATGATATAGTGCCGGGACTGCAGCCTGGCCAGATGACCACTATCGGAACCAATACCATCTCGCTCGACGAATCTAGCTCTTTCCTTGTAGTAGATGGCACGCGTTCTATCCCGCTAAACCAGGAGACATCCATACCCAGTACTTCCACACTCGACGTTAATGGAGTACCCATCCATGTGGGACAGCTCGCGACAGAGCTAGACGTTGGCGAAACAACTGTCATCGGAAGCATAACTGTTTCACGTGACGATACCGGCTTGATCGTTGGTACTACTACGATTCCTGTCCCTACGAAAACAGACGAGATAGTCGTCGGTGGTACGACTATATCTCCCGATGCGCTCCCATCCGGCTTCTCCTTTATACCAGCTGCATCTAGTGGCGGCCTACTACTTCCCAATGGCGACACACTATTGCCAGGTGGAGAGACGACGATCGATGGTATGGAGATTTCGCTTCTGCCGGGAGAGACCCCTGTTGCAGTTATCGAGGACTCAATATCCATTACGGCGACCGAGACTGCTGAGAGTACTACTTCAACATCATCCTCTTGCAGTGGCCTGACATGCGGTCAGCCGACTAGGACTTTGACCAGCCCAACAGGAGACAATACCGCAGCTTCATCGGCAGATGTGTTAGTGAGTGGGAGGTGGTCTGACTTTGTTTTTGCGAGCATGTTTGTTGGCGTTTTTATTCATTGGGCTTGATTGGTCATTGGTGCATGATCATTGGGATTGAAAACATAATGTTTTTGTATGATAATGAGGTTGCATTTTACGTTCAATATTCTTTTTCAGAGGGGCAACATGGTTTTGGTTATTCAAGGAGCAGAAAACTAACTGTATTACGCAGGGCAAGAAGGTCCTGTCAAATTGTGCATATTGCACAAAATTATCAAATATAAATAATGTGTCGCAACTTGAGGTATCTCAACAAAGGCTGTGGGCATGAGCTTGTGGTTGAGTCAATGTTTACTGCTAAAAACGAGACTTCTGAGAAAGGGCTGGTAGAAGATAGGTAGCGGAGACTGCCAAGAAACAATAGAGGTTGAGATTCGAATTGAGTCCCTCAGTGCGCACTTGCAGCGACAGTAGCCAAGCGCTGACAGAATGGAGTAGCGGTCGATTATCTGCAGCACCAGTATATAGATAGCGTCGCAACACTGACAGAACAACATGGTCCGTATTTCGAGGAATGATACTCGTCAAGATAGTAATGACCGCATTCAACACCCATACTTGCACAGGTGGTGGGTTGGTCGGTTCAAGATCAATCACATCTTCTCCCATGCAGAATATGAAGCAAGCCAGGTTCCGAGTCAACCCATCTAGTTTTTCGAGTCGCAAGACAGCGTCTCTAGACAAAGTCAAAAGAAAACGCGGGTCAGAGAAGCGCGACGGATATGTTGCAAGTATATAGAGAGAAGGGCTGTCCGGAGAGGGCGGTGCGCAAGCGACATTGTCGTCTTGCTCAAATCACGCATTTTTCTTCGTGGTGGGAGTTGAAGGCCCAAAATGTAGAGTTTAGCACTGTGCCTGGAACACAGCGCTCGTTAAGGAGTCAGATTTCTGGCTCGTTCTCCCGGCCATTAAAATTGCCAGGCGCTGAAAACATAATTCCAGATTCTGGTAGCGGATGATATGAAACAGCGACTTCCATACGATATTTTGAGTCTCTTTTCAAATAGCCTCGCCATGAAAAAGGGCGATATCTCGTGAAACTGAAAAGGACGACGGGTGTGAAGCATTATATTGCGGTGATCTCTTTTCATGAAATTCCACGGGTGGTGGTCGTATACAACGTATATATTCGAAATTGGGACGGAGAATATTTGTAGCAGACATGTTGCTGGTTCGAAGATAAAAGTGTAGTCATGGAAGGTGTGTGAAATATAGGCGGAAGGCTGGTGGTACTCTGATGCCTCCAAGAAGCCGCTATTTATCCCCGCTAAGCCCTTGGATGGCATTTTCACTCCACTCAAATTCTTTTACTCGTTGAGACTGTCGTGCTGTTAGGACTTCAATTGTTATAGCCTTCTTAATTGTCGTTTGGTCAAGCAAGCTTGGGAACAATCAGCCCAACCACGCGACATCTACTCATCCAGCAAGATATGGGTACCAAAAAAAAGGAATGCTTGCGCCAAACACAATGAGTCGTTATCATATTTGCTTGCTCATTGTGAACAATGCATCGCGATAACAGACGTCACACGTCAGCCGTCCTGCACGGACCCCAAAATGTTTCGAACAACGGTATATACCGGTGTTAGCTTTACTAGAAATGGTATGTAGACCTGGAAGATGGCTGACGATAGTTTGGGTTGTTGTTTTAGATTGCCGGCTGCAACCGGATCGAGGGAAGCTTGCGATAATCGGCACCGTTCTGTGTAGACATCATCCCTTTGACCAAATCCCGTCGCAACTCTTGACTCAACGATTGGTTTCCCTTTGGACATCGTCAACGATGGAACAAGGCGAAGGAGTTCGCAACAGAAGGTTGTATCTATGCCCAGAAACTACCAGTCGGCCTGTACAAGATCTTATCCGAGAGTGCCCCAGGTGTGGAGGTTTTGTATTTTATTGCTGTGCATGCAACAATCAATCTCTCTACGACCTTCGCAATGAACCAACGCCCATTCCCTGTCATCACTTCCGCATCATATTCACTGATGGCGCGTGCAAAAACAACGGAAAATCCACAGCCAAATCCGGGATTCGTATAGCATATAGCAGTAATACTGCAGGCCAACTGTCTATAGCTATCACCGACATGCTGGACAACTTTGCGGTCCGATCAAATCAAAGAGCAGAGCTTCTCGCGGCAATAATTGGCCTAAGGACACTTTCAAGTACCTTTACTAGAAAAAACAAGAAGGAACAAAGATCATGGATTGTGGCGCCCGACTCCGCGTATGTGGTCAAGGGAATAACCAAATGGCTACGAACATGGAGGGTATGTATATTTCAACAATCTGCAAGGAGTCGCGAAAGGGAATCTTGTGATTGATCATGTAGCGACAGAATTGGCGCACATCTAAACGCAAGAAGCCTGCAAATCTCGATCTATTCCGTAAACTCGATACCTTGATCAAAAGACTCGATGCAAAGAACACCAAGGTAAGTTCTCACTGGCAAAGGCACCATGAGTGTATACGACACTAAAGCTGTTCTAGGTTGGATTTTGGCATGTTCCAAGGGAGCATAATCAACTAGCTGATCGGCTTGCAAAGGCCGCTGCAGTCAATGGTACTGTAGCCACAACATTGGACTCAAGTACGTGACGCGGAGGTGAACGGCTTTTTCATTTTCGTGGGTATCGTGAACGCTAGCTTTCATAGATAACAAGGCCAATCGGACGGATGATGACTCTAACAGATCACCATTGTCATCTTTGTCAAAGATTTGACGCATCTCATTGTTGTTGGCGCACAATGCGATCACCGGCGCCTGGTCTCCAAGTACATTGTGCGTCATGCTGTAATACCCTTTGAAAAGAAAATAGAAATGGCTCAAACTATGTGCATTGTATTGTTTCTGCTATCTCTGTCCTACCGCAGTATCAACAATGTGACGACACAACCTCCCAGGTCTGTTCTATCATAAAGAGAACTTCGTACGATCTATTCTTTTTCACACCCACCACCAGGGTATTCGGGTATTAATTGAAGAGACACATTTTTACTCATTAAGAATTGAAAGACGCCTACAAACTATGGGGTACCCGATAACTTGTTACCGTCAGCCAACCAATACGATGTGTTTCGAAGATCGTCGCTACGACAAGCTTTTCTTCGCGCGTGGTCAACGCACACAATGCACTACAGAAGAGCTCTGGCCACACCGATTTCCGGGTTCGTCTGTTCCAGATTGGTGGCTTCACTATGTCGGCGTAGATAGGCTAAAGGTCTGCCGGTGCAGTCATCCTGCACGACATCGAGAGAAAACCTTCCGCCTTATCAAAGAATGGCCAGAACTGGAAGCAAGCTTGAATTTTTACATGGACCGCATGAACTACAAGACATGTACTGTAGCTGAGTATATCAATTATCAGCTGAAACGCGAAAAGATATGGGAAAGCGCCGGAATATATGTCCGCTGTTTCCACTGGGCCGATGTTGCACGTATATTCGTGTGTCGTTGTACTGGAAGTCATGGTTGCACGTACAGGACTCCCAATGACCCAGTACAATTGGAGCAATGCGCAGAATATTTTCTTCTTCACCGAGATGAAATAACAGTGTCGCAAGAGAAGTGGGAGGGTTATAATAAAGATTTGCCACCCCCTTACGCACTCAAAGCACAATCCGAATCGAGATATTCTCATAAGCAATACCAACGTCTGAATCAAAATGGACGTACTAGCAAGGTATCTCAGAGGGTTCCGAAGCCGGAAATGGGAATGCGCGGCAGTGCGAAGCCACTGACACCTCGCTTCGTAGGACCGTGCAAAGATGGTGCAGCAATGCAGCAAGAGTCAGAGATGCCTCCACAAGTTTGGCAGCATGCCCGCCCCTCTTTGTGGAAAAATCCTGATGGTATCTCTTCATCAGTAAGCACGCCCTTGGGTACGGCGTTTTTCGCTTCATCGGAGGAACCTCGTGTACCGGCAACTGCTCCACTGGAAAACCGACCCGCTCCTTGGAATAGCTCTGATTCTGGCTATTTGTCTACAACTCAAAATCAAGGAAAACGAGATGTAAGCGCTAGGGGCATACATAGCCGTTCTAAAAGCCATGAGCCAGATCATACCCGGGCGGGTAGTGCTTTTGACATGCGCTCAATGCATAGTGGAATAGGAACTATCCCAATTAGTAAGTTATCTCCAAGCAGTTCTCGAAGCTCTTTGAAGTCTAAGCCAACTATGGGTATCCCGGATGCGCATGAGCAACAGAATGCCGCAGATGGTTATACCCCTACTACTGATATATATTTTCGCATGGCGGACGAGGACGAAACTGACATCATCTCAGTGTATAGGAAGTCCAGCCCATCCTCCACCACCAGCTCTCAAAATTTGCCATTCTTTTACGAAAACTACTTGAACGACAATAGCCACAAAGAAGCAGTCCAGAAAGACATTACAGAACTATCACCAGAAGCCTACTACACTAGCGATAAGTACGCGATTCCAGCTGGCCAGGATAACCAAAACAAAGGATCCAATGTTCATATTAGCGAGCTTCCCGCCGAGACTTCCGCAGCGGAGTTGCCGACAGTTGCGCCACGCCAACGACACACACCGACGCTACATGCCCTCGAGGGCCGCGACTGGAACCCTGTTCCCGAGATGGAGGCAAAGACGACCGACTCGAATGACAAAGGTGAGGAAGTACCGGTCCGCATGTCTAGTCACACTTACAACTCGGGACTGATTGACTCACTCCTCGAACAGGTTTCGAATCTGGGCTCTTCTACGACCCTTGATCAAGACGTACAACTCCGACATGCCACAAACTCATCTCCCAGAGACTCTGGATTTGGTAGTAACTCTGGACATGCCGAAGAGGCTTCTCAGACTTGGAGGTCCGTTTCCCAATCCAATCTCACGTTGGCGGAGCGCATCAAGCAGGATCTGAGGGCCATCTTTGGTACTCAACGCACACCATTGAATGATTTGATTATGATAGAGTTCCCCCACCGTAGTGACGCGTTCAAGTGCTCGTCGGAAGAAGAGTTGGCGGTTACGCAGCTTGCTCTGATTAAAGATCACGTCGGGATCAATGCAGAGGAGGTGTTCAGTCGCTGGAACGCCGATGACGCTGCGCCCAACTGGAATGCAGACGTGATCCAGCCCGCTGTAAAGATATTTATGGGATGGAATCGATCTTTTCGCACGCTCTTCTCCATGTCGCAAGAATCGTTTCTTCGAGTCGTTGCGTGGGGAGAGCTGGTGCGCTTGATGAACAAGTCTTGGACGATGATGCAGTCTCAACCGGGCGAGAAGGTAATGTTCGCCCAGCTCGGACATGTCCATCGTCGGTTCTTCAAGGCCAAGGCTACTTATGATAAGGAAAAGAAGGATTGGAAGGTTAGTCGCTTCGAGGCGCTGGGTTGTGATATGATTGCAGCGTATCTTGTTACGATGACGATAGAAATCGGTAGGAGTACATAGAAGGCGGGTAGGAGTATGAAATTGACTCAGGGGTGGATGGTTCTCACCCTTGTGGTCAGGAAGCAGTGTAATATACAATGATATGTTAGGACACATCAAAAGTTACCAAAAGTTATACTTTCACGATAGCAAAAACCGGCAGTTTGTTGCTTAGGTTACATACGTAAAAAGTACAGTGTTGCCCTATCACCAGACTCTGTGCAAGTGCTCAAGTAATCAATGCTCAGATATTTGCTGAAACACATCGAAATATACATGCAGTGACACAAAAACTTGCTGCTCGTTGTTGCCACACCCTCCTTGATCTCAAGTTATATATTATGGCGATTCTCTAGCCATTTGATCAACTTACCCATCTTACCCTCATGCAGATCCTGGCGACATGTATTATTGTACACGTGCTGAAAAAGGCCGGATAGATTTGTGAAGCTCGACTTGCAGCTTGGGCACCGAAATGGGTACACGCGTCCATACATTGCTTCTAGATCAACACGCTCGAGTAATTCCTGGCGGTACTCCTGATCAAGGTACGCCTTCCATTGGAAAACACATGGCAGCTGACTGATTTCAATCGCGTATGTCGATTCCAGAAACGCAGGTAGCGGCCTCAAGGTGGATGATCATAGCGGGATATGTGGGAAATTTCTTATAGCAGCCATAATATTCAATTGTCCGCTCTAGATGTGTCATTTCATGCTGCGCACCCTGTCAATGTTCATTCAACCAAGGTTCAGTTCAGCTCACACGTTCAAGGTTGCTCGGAGTTTCAAAACGCGTCTCACAAAGCCCACAAACATTCTCGTCCTCGAGGTGATCGAGACACTCCTGCGATTCCGAGCCCCAGATGCGTCCCCTCCCATCGTTGCAGCCGCAGCAAACTACTGCGTGTCTTGTCTGGTCGAGACGTGTGAACGACTTTGCGCGAGTTGCTCCAACAAAGTCGCATGAATCACATGGATGATGGTTGGAGGCGTCACGGCGGTGTTGTCGCAGCGGGTACACCGGAAGTTGGAGCTGGTGTTGTCAGCTTAACCAGACGACAGCAAAACCCAAGATGCACGTAAAACGGACTAGTCGCTATCACTATCCGACCAGAACATAGCGCGCTCACAGAGGGTCCAAGCACGATGTGCTGCTACTATTGGGAATAGCTGAAGGGTAACAGTGGAGTTGTCCTAGAATCATGCGCCCACTTAACCCTTTATTATCAGCGCTAGGTTATTTTAAGGCTGGGGTACTATGCAAAGGTGCGAGGGCCCTCCACAACACGGACGGGAACCGATCTTGTGGTCACGGACTGGCCTGAATGGATGTATCTCGACACATGGCAAGTGTTTTCTAGAACGTCACTTGGTGTTGTTCTTACAGGAGAAGGCCTTTTACCAACTAACCATCTTCACTACTGACAGCTTAATGCTTGTCACGTGACACGTTCAATCTAGATGCGCACAAAGGCATGACAGGTACAGTTGTTCACACACTGCACTGCTATTGTTCATTCACAAGAGCAGCCATGTTCATTCTGGTAGTCGGGATAAATGTAAAATTTAACAAGACGCTTCAGACTGAGGCAGCAAGACTGCCAGTTCCGAGGCACAAGGCGGCAAGAGAGAAAAGTTTGAAAGCGCAGATGAGGAGTCATGAGCAAGATATTGTATCAAAGAGATACATGATTGCAATGAAAACGCATCGAACATGTTTCGTCAATCTTTTTGTAATGTGAGCGATGACGCAGTGTTTCCGCTTAAGCAGAATTCGCACACGCTGCCCACGTTTCCGCCATTACAGTTCCACAAAATTATACTCATGACAGCAACATGGCTCCGAAGCGACAGGATGAAAATAGTCGCTCGTGTGGATTTTCAGTCTCAACCGTAGTTCGCGTGCGCAATAACACTTATTCTGAGCCAGTGACGATAAAGGCATTTGCAAATCCGATTACTCTCGCGTCTATCGCCATGAACACTTTTCATAACTTGTCCAGTGAACGCTTGAAATACGGTAGGCAGTGAAAGAGCGTGACACAATCTCCACGGCAGTGAAAGTGATTATAAAATGAGAAACCCGCTGCTCACTCCTCAACACCAGGCCAAAACGACTCCATCACAACCACAGCTTTTGTCCATCAACACCCAGAGCGAATACCATCATCACTAGAACCTCAGAAGAGATACCCTCGTTCGATTCAATACGGCCATATTTCCACTCAAGCTACAACCGTCGCTTCGCTTCAAGCGCGCTCAAGACAAAATCACGACTTCAACACAACTAACTACACTCGACTCGCTTCCCTTCACTCAAGACCTGTGCAAGATGTCCTTCTTTATTCAACAGCAAACACAATACACGGCTTACTCGGGAAGGGCGATACAACCCACGCCACACCAGCGTTACCATCCACCAGCCTCATGCACCACACAAGCTTCGTGCAGTGATCCTCAAGGATGGCTGGCAGAATCCGCAAAAGACTTGGTCAATGTGAATCCTTCATCCATCGTGCCTGGGATCAGTCCCAAGCAGGTTTGTTCGCCGTCACAAAGATTGCATGGCTTGTATACACCCGGGGATTTTTGGAATGCGAGATGGTTGTCGCCTGTAGAGAGACACGAGCTGTATGTATCTTTCGGTGTGTTTGGTCGCATCATGCAAAGCCATGACCCTAGCTCTTCAGAATATACTACTGCTTTTGATGTGATCAAGGAAAAGAGCAAGGAAATTGCCCAAAAGGAGGCACAATGGTACAGTCAATTTGGCGCTAGAGGGAAGGGGACTTTGAAGGAGCGGACCGAGCGATTCAAAGAGATTCTGATCGAACAGATGCACGAAGTAGACCTTAGGGCTATTTCTCAAGAAAGCAGCGCCGCTTCTTCAACGCAGATTGCTTCGCTAGGACAACAGCCTGGTGCAGGTAACAACACTGCAATCGTCATTGACGATGAGCGAGGCGCCTCTTCAAGCCCATCGCGCGACCAGAAGCGCCGTGCGTCAGAGCCAGAAGCTGGGAAAGACTGCCGACCCGCCAAACGACTCGCACCAGAATTGGACAAGTCAGTGCGACTGGAAAGGCAGGCAAAAGCTGAGGCGGAACACCAGCGATATCTCGCCCAGAAGGAGATGGTTGACCGTATCTACCTCGATGGCGATCGGTCGCGGAAACCAACAGATCCCGTGTGGCAAAAGCTGGCCGCCTTCGATGCCTTCGAGGCCGCGAAGCAAAATCTGCAGCCAAAGAAGAAACGCCGACAGCCATCGCCCGAGGAAGATGAACAAGCATTTTCGGATGTCGACGAGCGCTTCAAGCTTCCATCCCGCGACTTGGCATCATACCCACTGAAGACACCAGACAAGTACATGTGTCTTCACGTCGACTCGGGATGCGGAGGCAGCAAGGACTGCACTTGCCACAACCACAACTGTTGCCGCAACGGCTTTACCCTCCGCCAGCTCGAGGGCGCCGTCAAGCGCAAGTACGAAAGGATTTGTTCCAAAATTGAAGAACAAGCCTTCATCCATGGCAAGATTCCGCGGAAACTCAAGACGTGGGAGAATTGGTACAGCAAGGAGATGCGGGACCGAGACTCGACTCGCATCAAGGCTTGCATGCCACCACTGGAGTGGAAGCCTGACCCGCGCATGGCAGGCGTGAATTCGGCTGCACAGTCCTTGAGAGCTCCACAACAAGCTGCTGCCAAGAAACCTCGTGTGAACCCTCGATCTGCGCTTGGGCAACTGCAAAAGAGGCAAAGGGAAGAGGAAGAGAGGCGGGTGGAGGAAGCGATTTCCCGGGCAACACAGGGGGTTGTTGGGGGCGCGGAAGGGAGTGGGAGCCAGGGAGCTGAACAAGCTCCCCCTATTATGCTCACGGAGGTGTGTAAGGGGCGTGAGCAGCCAGAACAGACTCCCCTTCAGGTCGAGCATCAGGAGGCCGAGGAGCCAATCTCGACGCCGGAAGAGAATTCCCCCAAGGATAATGGGGATGAAGATCTCGACGTTGCCTTCTTTGGCGAGCCAATATCGATGGCTGAGGGGAATGCCCCCGAGGATGATGAAGATGGAGATTTGGACGTGGAGTTGTTTGGCGAGCCATTAAACGAAGATGGCGACAACGGTCTCAGTTTGGAGCAACCGAGTGGAGGCTTCCAAGCCGGACTACTCGACGCTTCCGAGCTGGCAGATATCCCCGATTCTGCCGTACCGATTTCGTGGCAGGTGTTCGATTTGGCGACGTTGAGCGGAGACACCCAAATCGGATTGTTCAACATTTCTGAGCTGGCGGATATACTCGATCCCGCCATGCCAGTTTCGGGAGATGGCTTCGATGGCAACTTTTTTGAGGACTTTTTCTAAGAGAGGAAGACAAAAGGTGTACGGGATGATTCTTGTACTCAAAGTTTGTCTTTGTCACTGGGATGGTGGAAATGTAGTCAAGTCCTTGAAATTGGCGTCTCACGTATTGCTACGAGGAATTAGTGATCTCTCGATATTATTCATGGTGCTTGTCGTCTTTTGCTTGTTATCACGATCCATCAGTATGGTTTATGATGTCTAAGAGGGGAATTGCTCGCGTGACCACCTTTGCCATGCTTATTCTTGCAACCAGCAGAAGCAGCAGGAACGGCTAACGCGGAATGACATATGACTGAGATGATTGATCTGAAATTCAAGGACGAGATGATATATATGTATATATATATATATACATACGTAGCAGCTATATGGTGTCGTACGTACAAGCGAAGTCGGGTTTGCCGCACCCCACAAAAAGCCACATGGGCGGTGGCGACGCTAGCCGGCGGGCCATGGAAGTCTGTGCGTCAACGCGTCATGCTGTCGTGATTGTACACTATGTCTGCCCATTACTACTCCACACCCTAGTCTACACCTCTTTATTCGCCCTGCTCTATCCTGGTGCGTACACAGTACACTGAATTCCGGCCATTCCTGATTTTGACCGCTACCTGCAATCGTCTTACTCCAACTACACGCAATCTGATCCCAAGTCACATCCCCAACCTTGTCCCACACGACCCGATATCCGATATCGCACGCTCGTCATCAGCTCCGCACAGGGTAAGCAGCCCAAAAGAGCAGGTAACTGTTATTTTTACAGATTGGCGAGACCGTCTTCATCTTGCATAGCAATCGTATTCGTCGACTGGGAGCGCCAATCTTGTTTGGCACTGGTGCAGCTAGGCGAAGGTGGGAAGGTGATACCCGGGCGTTGCCAAGCGGGAGTGTACCAAGCTCCGTCCCGCACCAGGTGTACCGTTGCATTTACCACCAATTGGAGATACCTGCTCGCATCTTACCTCAAACGGAACAAATCCAATATCTGGAAGCCCTGCCATCTGTGTCGTGGTACGTGGCGTTGGAGTAGCCTATGCATAGTTAACCACCAACCCTCGGACTGAGTTGCAATCCATCAATCGTTGCTACGTATCTCACATTCTGCCACCACCGAGGTATCATATCCCGGTACCCACCGCTTTCTGGACCAATGTATTCATATATAGCCAGGGACGAGAGTTCAGCCCCACACACAATGACTCCCCCGTTGCTGAGACTCCCCGCGGAGCTCTTACAACAAATCCTGGGTCACCTATGTCTTTCAGACCTCCTCTCCATAGGTTTGGTAAGCCGGGTGCTGCAAGATCACACAAACCAAGACATTCTTTGGCAACGACTAGTCCAGGCGGAGATTTCAGGGCCTGCTGTGTCCAAGCCCGCGCATCGGACCTGGCGGGAATTGTTCAAGGAGCACCATCCCTACTGGTTTATTGCTGGGAAGAAGTTATGGTTTGCGGACAACGTGCACACTGGAAAGCTTATTGTAGCGCGCTATGATCATCGACTCAACGCAATCGAAGCATATGAACTTGTTGCCGAGCGCCGGGTACCCGAGTCTCTGTCGTGGGACCAGCATCCCGATGCCATTATTCATACCTTCAGTCCTCGCGTGAAGTTGGATCTGAACGTGCCCGTAGTCCGACTGAACAGCAGCGCCTATGAAGAAGGGATCGGACGTGTAGGTCATCGATTGCAGAAGGAAATACCAATGAACCTGTCTCGACACACAGTACTGCGCTCACATCTGCTGCTAACCAGACCTTGGCCTGAGAATATCACTACGGAAGCGACACCTGTATGGCCTCCACTTACAGTGCCCAGTGTTCATCGCACTCGCAACGACCAGTCGCCTTCTGGGTTCACGCAATCTGGACACAAGCCTGGCTTACTCAACCAGCTGTCTACTTCGACATTTAGGTTGCGCAAGTGGATGCAATTTGCGACTCAGTCAATAAGATTTAACATGCGAATTGGCGAGAACATTTCGACGTGGGCGACGCTACCCGAGGAGTGCTACACTCCGACTCGACAAAAGCCATGGCAGGGCATCTGGTGCGGCGATTATGCTGGGCATGGTTGCGAGTTCCTGGTTGTCATGCAGCCTGATAATCCAAGACCTCTTCCAGAACGAGCCGAGTGGGCTCTGCGAGCAGCGGAGCGCGAGGAAAGTGTGAGCAGTGAGGGGTCATGGACTACTGCACCCACCGACGCAGCGCATTCCGATGACGAAGATGGTCAGATGGAAAATGCCGATGATCTGGAAGATAGTGTCTCAACTCTCCAACAGTCATACCACGAACGGGCATCGGAAAGTCGCGGTCAAGGTGACGCACAACAGGACGGCGATGCGGTCTACCGTGGCCGCATCGAAGCCGTCAAGTTGACCGGTGACCCAAACATACCGAGAGGGGAGTATACATTTATTGCACCTGACATTGGCCCGAACGGGTTGCTGAGGGTGGCAAGTGAGGAAATCTTTCAAGGCGCGCGAATTGTGCGCAGTGTAGGGCACATTGCAGCGACAGGATTTCGAGACGGTATGCTTTTGTAAATGCGACATGATGGTGGCGATTACTAACCTAGGGGTCAGATAACTACATGGCATCGCAGCTCATTCTAATATCTCATGACCGGATCGCGCAATACTGGGAGACGTTTGGTCACGTGTCGTTCTACGAGCGAGTAGACATTGATTCATTCACGAGGGTTTAGTGGCTGAGATACGGATGGCTATGGAGTGTAGGTTTGGACGAGTCTCTATATTAGCGTTTCTTTGGTTTTCTTATGGGTTGAATAGATACAATGTCCCTGGTGTTAATGGGTTCTGGGCGCAGTGGAGAGCGGAGGCTGTGATGATCTGCGAGGCAGACGACCCCATTCCATATCGGGACTAGCATGTCGATCCCTGGCCATGCACCCTGGGAACGTCATCAGCCATCACCAAAATTTGGGCGGCGGCGAAAGCGCGGGCGGCGTTTCATCCTCGCAGGTCTCCTTCTCAGCCATACCCGCCTTTTTTGTAGTTATTGATCAGTCACCAGGTTCTCCATCTCTGGCACCCAAATTAGAAAATCCAAAAAAAGTATTCGCACATCCACAAATATATCGGAAGACATGACGAGCCACGAGCAGTACATGCTGCGCGTAACGGCAGGACCGACATACGATGTGTCTAAGCATGAGCCTGTGCCTGTGAATCGCGAGAAGCCAGTGAGCATATCGTCGGACCTTATTGACGCGAAGGTGCATATGCGCATCAAGGACTATCGCGGTACATTTGCCCCTCATGCCCCGCCCATCAGTGACTAACCTCACTCTCCAAAGGACTACCAGAAGGCTCGCCATCGACGTCACCATACTTCTCCACGCCCCAACACCCATACGACCGCTACTCGATATCATTTTCCTTTACCCCGAAGCAGGACATTGCGGGCGACAAGCTCGTGTTTGGAAACGACTTTGACCACCCGATTCGCGACCGGTTGCCGCCACTGTTTGACAAGGCGTTTGGTATCGTCAAGTGGTGGATTGATCCTGGGCTGGATGGCGATGTGTACGCGGACGAGCCGTATCTGTACGGGGCGCTGCTTTCGTCCATCAACGTCTTTCGCATCGGCAGCAAGAAGGACGAACAACCTGGAGACAAAAATTCGGAGGGAGAGGCGCAGACCGAGGGGGATGTAGAAAAGAGCGGCTCAGAAGACGAGGTCGTTGTATACGAAGAGGGCGCAGATGGCGAGGGCGCTGCGGTCAGGAAGGAAAAGGGTATACCTGATAAGGCGGGCGCCCGGCAAAAGTTTTTCCTCACTGAACAGAATCGCAAGGACTTCACCTTTGAGGCAGGCAGGGAGTACCAGTGCGACTTTTTCAACCCTTATCTGGACTTTAACGAGTTTGCGCTAAAGATTGGTTACGGACTGCCGAACATTTCCATGATTAGACATTGGGACGGACAACCGTTGCGGTAAGTGGCTCCTTTCCTAGCAGTGTTTGGATTTGTTTCTTGGGACGTAATCACACGTTAATTTTTTGCTTGGATCGGGATGAGGAGCTGACGCGACCATTCACTAATCAGTTCGCACACACTTAGGTATGTGCTCAAGAATCGCGAGACCAACCAGGAGCTCTTTGTCGTGGTTATTGAGCTGCTGCCCACGGACCAGGCCAAGAAGGGGGGTGTCGAGGACGCAGAAGAAAAGTTTGCAGAGGTCCATGGTAAAGAGGGAGAGAAGGAGGCAGGGAAAGATAGCAAAGACGATGAGCTGGACTAGGACATGACATAGTCATGCATGATGCGCAGGGTGTCTTGGAGGGTATGCATCAGCGCGGCGTTATGGTATTGGAATGCACGATAGATGTACAGGGCTATAGCTGGTTTGGTTGGTTAGCATGGCTAATGGTGGTGTTTTGTTTGTGGTATTGCTGGTGTTACTACTACATGTAATAAGACTGGCCCTCCCCACGGGGTACGGGCAGGCGTCGCTAGTTGTACCCGCTGTCCAATCAACACCATGGTCGGGTCAAGGACACACGCTTGTCAAATCTAAATAGTGTCGAGGGATGAAATCGGGTATTTTTTTTGATATATCGTCACTGTAGGCCATCTTCTCTCATCAAGGCCAATTTTCTTACTTCCTCGACTACGTACTTGTTAGCAGTGCGCACGCCGCGGAGAGGACGGATAAACCCGGGGCTCCGAAGTTCGGCGAGCTGCAACCCCAAAAATTCCCAGGCACATAACATTGACTTCTCTTGTGTCACAGCTTCACAATGGCCGCACGCACGCTGAGGATTGGTAAGAAATCCCCATGCAACACTCCAAACCCCCACAGCCTGTCTGGCAAAGGCCAATTGGTGTATCTACTCCGCCACAACATTAACTACCACAACACCAATCCCTCCCTCCCTCACTAACCTCAACAGGCCTCATTCCCGGTGACGGCATTGGCCGCGAAGTCATCCCCGCCGGTCGTCGCATTCTCGAGGCTCTGCCCTCATCTTTGGGCCTCAAGTTTTCCTTCTCGCACCACGAGGCCGGCTGGGAGACATTCCAGAAGACGGGCGCTGCTCTGCCCGACAAGACGGTCGAGGCGCTCAAGTCCGACTGCGATGGCGCCCTCTTTGGCGCCGTCAGCTCGCCCACGGTCCAGACCAAGGGCTACTCAAGCCCCATTGTGGCGCTGAGGAAAAAGATGAAGCTATACGCAAACGTGCGCCCTGTCAAGAGCGTCCGGGGAGGTCTGCGTGACGTGGACCTGGTCATTGTGCGCGAGAACACCGAGGACCTTTACGTCAAGGAGGAGAAGACGTACACTGCCCCCGACGGCTCCAAGATTGCCGAGGCTATCAAACGCATCTCCGAGACGGCCTCGTTCAACATTGCAGCCATGGCCGGGGACATTGCCCTGCGAAGACAGCGTGTCCGCGATGCTGGTGGCAACTCCATCCACTCCCGCCCCCTCGTCACAATCACCCACAAGTCCAACGTTCTGTCTCAGACCGACGGCCTTTTCCGCGAGACCTCGCGCCATGCTCTGCAAGACGCAAAGTACCAAATGGTTGGCGTTGAGGAGCAGATTGTCGACTCCATGGTCTACAAGCTATTCCGCCAACCCCAGGACTACGACGTCATTGTCGCCCCCAACCTCTACGGTGACATTCTGTCCGATGGTGCTGCCGCCCTGGTCGGCTCTCTCGGTCTCGTTCCCTCCGCCAACGTTGGTAAGGACTTTGTCATTGGTGAGCCCTGCCATGGCTCTGCCCCCGACATTGAGGGCCAGGGCATTGCCAACCCAATTGCTACCATCCGATCTACTGCCTTGATGCTCGAGTTCATCGGTGAAGAAGAGGCTGCCGCCAGGATTTACACTGCTGTCGATGCAAACCTCGAGGAAGGTAAGCTTTTGAGCCCAGACATGGGTGGCAAGGCCAAGACGGATGAGATTATCGAGGATATCTGCAAGAGGCTGTAAACCTATGCTTTTTTCTTGTTTGGCTAAAAGCTTAGTGCATCATGTTCTGGTTTAGTGCAACCCCTTATCGGTTAAGTGGATGCTTGGTCGTGCCGATTAGCTTACAAATTCGGATAATTATAGTTTAGAAATCAATTAGTCCGGAAGCTTCGGGCACAGGGGACACAGCAGTAACGGGCGGTGGGACCCCTTCTGGTGATTTTCTTACACTTCCCCGCAGAGTTATCCTTGGGGTTAACCACTCTTGCTACCAATAGTTAAGCTGTATCCCTGTTTTACCTCGTTTGTTTCTGCAATGCTTCTAGCTTGTTTCCGACCGCATGTCCGTCGCTAACAACTCCATCAATCCTGCAAGCCAAGCCATTACGATTACGACCACAGATACACTGACCAGAGAGCAAGATCAATACAAAGAAGTTCCTACATATAGAAGAATAATCATCCTATGTTCCTTGAGAATGCCAGTACAATCAACTCCATAGATTGGTCCACGTGTATTTGCTTTCATACCCCGCAAGGACATCCCTGTAAGCTGACTTATCATCGCCTATAAGTAAGTGCGCGGTGCTTTAACGGAGATTAAATTTCAATTTCAAAAATTAGTTTTCCAAAACTATGGGAAACTAATCGCAACGTCCTTCCCGTTTTGGAAGCGCTGTTAATGCTCGCTTTAGCATGTTGTAGGTTATACGCTCCAAGAAACGCAACCTTATAAGGACTTGTCTTTTCCAGCATTCATCCTACTCACGCCTCACAGCATCTTCTCACTCCACAGTCCATTCGCTTAAACCACAATCTCTAATCCCTCATTCAATCACAAACTTCTCAAACGTTCAACATGTACGCCTCTACTATCGTTCTTGCCCTTGCCGGCGCCGCTAGCATTCTTGCTGCCCCTGTATCCGACAGTCCTGCTGTTCAAGCAGCAGCAGCAGCCGCAGCCGCAGCTCCAGCCGTTCCTCTCGGCAGCTGCCCAACTTGGGGTGGCATTTATGGTGCCGCTGGCATTAATTCCTGCTGCGTATACAGCGGTGGTCCCGTAAGTCTCCATCCCCTCCGAAAAAGAAAGTCAACCACAAAAAGTAACAAGCTAACACATTCATTTCACTTACTCACAGTCAACGTGCTGCTTCAATGACAGGCCGAACAGCGTATACCTCCCCGAGGTGAATTACACGTACCAATCTTGCCAGTCCATCTGGTTCGCCACCCCGGCCAATTTTCTCACATTCAGCAATTGCAATACGCCCGGCATTAACGGCGGCGGTTCTTGCGCTGGTGTCCCTCAGGTCACGGGAGACCACACATCGTCCTAGAATATTGGTCTATCTTGTATACATTTGAGATGGGAATAGATCGCATACATAGCTAAATCTAATCATTTAACATGCAAGTCTTATCTCTCCTGATCTGGTATTGATTCTATGGTCAAACTATCAGGTGTTATCCTATGATGAGTTTACCATGTGGCGAAGCAACAATCGATGCAAGAAGTGGATGTCTTTGATTGCAAAACAAGATAATATACAAAAAGAACTCAAGGCACTCGCACATTCATCTCTTCTTCTGCCTCACGAACGAGCTTCTGAGCCTCGGCGACCTCCTCCTCCGTATCCACCATTGCTCTTTTGACTCTTTCCCTGAAACCTGGATCGCGGTCACTATTCAGCTCTGCAAGGCTCTCTCGCAACGTGTACAGATCCCTCTCAATAAGACTAATCTGCGCTCGCAGCACATTGCACATATCAACTTGCAGTTCTTCTGCGAGACGTGCAAAATGAACCTTGCATGCTTTCCGCATGTCCAAGAACAACGCCTCAGAGCCGAATCGTCCTGTAATCAACGCCCTTTTCCTTTCTGTGCACCCCGGACCTAGAGCTATATCAGTACTGGACCGCAAAAGAGTATGCTGATGAGAAAAAAGCACTTACCGTGTTCACTATTGGCTTCGTTGTACGTCTTCTTCATGCACTCTCCTACAAACGCCGTTTGTAAAGACCCAAGAGTATTCACTTTGAGTGTGGCCATTCCTGACCAGAAGTATTCCTGGCTCTCCCCCATACCATCCAGTGCAATGTCCCTGCGATGTATCAGGGTATTGCGGAGCCCCCGGATTGCGGAAGTGTGGCTCAGAACCAAAGACTTTCCGTTTTGTTGTTGAGGCATTGCCAAGGTGTGCATACGATCAAACAGTCTTTTTGTGTCATCAGTTAGCTCTTTCAGCTTCCCTTTCAGAATCCCAACAAAAGCTTCCCAAGCAGAGTTCAAATCTTTTTTCAAACAAGCAATCGCTTCATCGTTCCAATTATGGTAGCCAACTGCTCGTGTAGAATGGTCTCCTTTATTGCGACAGAATGCAGAATACGTAGCTGCATTCCACTAATAGTTAGTCAGCAGATGTTCCACCAAGTATTATCCATACCCAGAGCTTGAATACATACTTCATTGTACCATGATTCGCTAGCCTCTTCAGCATATCCAGACCATACTTTGGCCGAGGAAACTTGGAAATCGTTAATTAAGGGAGCATAAACAGTATAGATCCAATCAGAACATACTCATAGGACCCTCTATCGTCTCTTTGAACCTCTCTAGCAAGACGCTCGATATCTCATTAATCAAGATCTCTTTGTCTTCAAACTAGGGGAGTAAATCAGCGTGACCTTCTTGTCTTGCCTCAAACAGCTAAGTGAGGAGATTGGCTGCGTTGGATGCGACATGCGGCTATCAGCAGGCAACAGTCAAGTCATTTCGTACCTTAGGCAAGCATTCAACAATCTTGGGTAGAATTTCGTGAATTCCCTGTTGTTCCAACGTGGCACTACCGCCTCCGGAGTTCACCCATAGCTCGACCGAACCAAGGAATGCTGGGAGTTCGTGATCGATGAGTTGCTTAGAAATCCGGTGATGGCTCTCTGCAATGATACCAATGCAATGTCGTCGAAGATCTGGAATACCACTGATGTGGATGGCGGCAAGATGCACTGCACTAGTTCCGGTACGGTTATCCGTGTACAATATGTGGCTTACACAGAATATCTTGGGGCGTTTTGCGGCTTCGAGGTCCTTGTATTTGTGGTGTAGTTTAGCAGTGACTGAAGTATTGCGGATCTGAATGAGCCGATGCGGCAACTCGTGCTCTTTGCACTGTCTGTCTTTCTCCAACTTACGATGTTCATATAACAACTTTTGGTACCTTCCATTTCTCTTGAGATTCTCGGTTCCGAAACCGAGATCCTCTTCTTCAGCCAAAGCTTCTGCTATCTCATTGATATTGTCACGTATGTTATCCATCTCAATTTGAAGCGCTTCAATTTCACCCTTGTGTTCTGCCCATTCAGACGCAGCATTTGCAGTATTCACATCCTCGGACTTGGTGCATACTATGTCAACTTTGCAGAGATTCGCGTCTTGGGCTAGCTTGAATATGTTATCGAGGCTTTTGTCGTCAGCAGCCCGTTGGATAGGTAGGACGGCAAAGATCTGATCGCATTGTCGAATATACTGCTCCGTGATCCGTGCACGCACAGGGTTGCTGTCGCGAAGCCCAGGCACGTCCGCTAAGATGAGTCCTTTGCTCAGTATGACTGCTCTCAAGTATACCTTCATACTTTTGATCAAAGGCCAGCGCATGCCAGATTGTGAACTCGAGAATGAATCACCGGTCCCCGAAGTCAGAATGACCAGCCGATCAGCGCACTCTTGGAGGGCAGCAAAAGATTCCTCGTCTTCGGATTCTGGAAGCAGTTCCCGGACCCAGAGCATCATCTTCTCGACAGTGACATTGAATTCTTCGCGTGAGAGAGCTTCGGGATCTTCTTTGAGATGTCGAGTGAAAATTGCTTCAAAGGTTTGCCTCGCGAGATTGGCCTTGTGTACTAAAGCTTCCTTGTTCTCTTGCAGGTCTGGCTTGTTCTGCTGCCCTGGTTCCATAGTATCATGAGGTTCCTTTATGTTTCGGTACGCGCTCAGGAGGTCTTTGAATTGATACTCAAGCTCATCTCGGTCGAAGTACTGGACCCGGATGGTAAACTTATCACTATCGTGATACACGTATTCTGTCACCGTACAGGTACAAGCAGTACCATTGCCACTCTGCGCAATTACGTGTTAGCAATTTTGTTTCGCAAGTTGCTACGATCTTACTTACCGACTTTGCTAGGTTTGGCTTATCGAGTAGTGAGTTGATGAGACTGCTCTTTCCCACCGCAGAATCACCTATCATACCAACAATGCGCGACGAGGGAAGCTCCTGATGCCCCAGATTCACAGCCTGTTGCTGAAGGCTGTGAACAGTCGACCCAGCCTGCTGATGTAGCGTGGTACTAGACAAGACCCTGTTCAGATTGGAGATGCATGACATGGCTCCTGAGAGTGCTTTCTGGAATTTGATGTGATAAAAAGGGTTACTGGGTGGTTCTTCGCATTCGACTTGATAGGCCCTTTTGGAAGATGGAGATGGGCTATAGGTTGAGGGTGCGATGCGTGGCATGGGGGTAGACTGCCGAGATTGAAGGCGAAGGGCGCCCAGGCTTTCCACCACATCGCCAGCTGCCAGACCGTTATCTCTTGCTGGCGTAGATAATGAAGTCCAAAATGAAGGATTCGGCGTCTGTAGACGGGAATGCTGATCTGAAGGACATGCGGAAGTCAATCTAAAGTTTCGTAGAGCAGTCGTCTGTTCCCAAACAGTGTCCACTGTTGAGTGAATTTGCGGGGTGTTCCATCTTGTTGGGTTCAGGGAGCTTGGACTGACTCCACGGCTGCTCAGAATAGAGTTCTCGCTCTCAATTGACGGGATTGGAACGTCGGCTCCAGAAGGAGATTTTGTAGATTCGCGAGAACGGATAAAATCCTCTGCCGTCCGCGCACTGGGGAATGTAGTTCCAGAGCGAAAAACGAACGTAAAAGGACGTAAAGTCGCATCATCTACTCCCAACGACGCTTCATTCTTTGAGGCATCGTTAGGGGAAGACATGACGTCTGTATTCTCTACAGTCTGCTTCTTGGTGTTAAATTCTGGGCACTGAATGGAAACACGGGTGTGCTCACCCTTCTCAACATGTATGGTATGGTAGTCAACAATGATGGTTCTGAATATGTGGCAAGAGTTATGGAGCCTCACCCTCACCTTTATCATGTTCTCTCTAGGTACCAACACTTACCTGACACAGTTGTATGGAAGTTCTGCACGAGTGTGGCACAGTTGAAGAACCCTGCTACCGGAGAATCCATCGCGTATTCGCAGGCACATGAGACAGAAGTAATTTGCAATTGCGTTGCCAAGTACCCCATGCCCGTTCAGGTCACCAATGAAGTCGGTAGAATAGTCATTGCATGTCCGTGTGGTGTTCTCGCCAGTGTTTTGGCGATCTTGTTTGGGAAAATGCTGGTGAAAGGTGGGCCAACGGTGCACGCGATCAGTATCTTAGGGGGAGTTTCTCGTTACTGAGTACCGACAGTCCGTTGTTGCAAATAAAGAAATGGGGGGGACAGAATGGTATTCGTTCTAGTATAGGATGATGCAAACATGGTGTGGTCTGTTTTCGTTCAAGTCCACAGCGAATGCTCGAAGCGGGAAGCTTCTACCGCCGAGTAGGTAGGAGTCCTTCGATTATCCATTTCAAGTCGTGTACAACTTCGTTCTTGTCTATTGCTTCCTAACTATGTGCCGGGATTCCGGCCGATTCCTCAAAGGATCTGAAATCTTGCGACAATGCGTAGCACGGGAGTGATACTGGTAGACTTGGCGGAGAAAGATTGGTCCCCCTAATCTTGCGGCACGAAGAACGAGAGACGGGCCGCAGTGGAGAAAGATGGAGAAGCCATGCGACGGACCCGGAGACACGTTGCGGTTGCCTGGCGTGTTTCGTTTCAAGGCGGGTGTGGGTGTGGATGGCATTGGGGGCTGCCAGCTGCCGCACAGGCCATGACCGCATCGAAGCGAGCCACTGGATAGGCAGTAAACCCGGGTAAGGGCACTGCGAAACTGCATGACACCGAGTCTTCACACGCGACTACATATGTAACTACAAGGCTAGGATGGGAATCCTTGCGTGATAGTGGCCACATTTTACGTATTTGCGCTGGGTAAGAAGCGCGCACGTGGGGGGAAAGAGCCCCCTGATTGGGGCCGAACTCTCATGGTAGTATGTAAGTAGTTCACGAGGCTTGCTATGTTTCATGGTAGTATGCGATAAAAACAGGAGTATATTAATCTCTCGGAGTAGCTGTGCCGTCGCCAATCATCAAAAGATCCAACATTGTACCAAATAGCCCCCATACCTTGCAAAAGAAGGCTAAACGACACCCACGTGGCTCCGAGATTCGTTTCTACGTTTTGGGCAAAGACAGGACGGAAGAAGCAATTATGCGCCGATCATCATACGTGACGTGTACGCCAATGTAGTACAACTACTGCCACGGATTTTTACTTGCCTCTTAGGGTGACAGAAAACGGGGAAACAAGACCATGCGAAATGACATTGGGAAGTGGAGACTGGGGAAGATGAAAGCCCATAATGGCCCACAGCGGTGAAGTACAATCGGCGTCTCGATTGGTTGGCATAGTCCTTCTATCTCACGTACACATTGGAACCTTCAGATGTAAGATCAACCTTCTGACTTCCTTCTCCATCGACCCCATAATCATCAAGCAACCATAGGCCTTTGTGCGGTGGCCTGACCAGCACCAGTCTTGTTTCTGCGTTGCGGCATTTTCCCCCTTTTCACGCAGTTACTCGTCTCAGGAATCGCTTAGGTAATGGAATACTTGACCGTTAAAACAAAACATTCCCCTTCTCTCCAAAGCTCTATGCTCGTCTTGCGGTATGATCAAATAACTCTACAGAATTGCGCATTGTAACCTATCGTTTGCATGAGGCAATTATTGCAACTGCGGCTATTTGTAACCGCAGCCCTCCCAATGCACTCAAGCAGAAGGTACATAAGCTGCGATGGGGCATGGTAGAGATTGAGTTGAAATCTCAAAATCCTAGAGACATTGGATTATCAAAATTACTCTGCCGAGTATTTCATTCATCCCAAACACTGGTTCATCATCCAAAGACAGCCCCTCCAGCGTCCCACAGCCCTACCAACATCCGCATAATCAAATCACCCAGGCAACTTCATCAACCTCATTTGCAACTTGGGAGGGGCCGAGCCGGAAGCACCAATGAGCGCTCTGAAGGAAAACATCGTATACGCCGCTTTCAATGCTTTATATTTCTTCCTCATGTACCGCGTCTTCAGCGCCCAAGTGGAATTACTCGAAGGAAAAATGAAAGAGTGGAGGGAAGAGATGAGAGAGCTCAAGAGAGATATTAGAGTGCAAATGGGCGTTGCCCATGATGGGATAGGGATGGGAGTGGATGCTGCCAAATGTATGGGCGCTGCAGAGCAGAACAGGGCGATGAGGGATAGGTAGCGGGTCAGCAAAATATAATGAGCACGACAATTTCACAAAAAACATCCGGAAGTATTGTCGTCTTTACAACTGTGAGAAGCAATACATCAGGTTTTGTTCTCTTTCATCAATTCTTTGACATCATCAAAGGGACGGCGTGTTGTATGCCATGTCAGACATGTATCAGCTCACAATATGGGTGCGCAACTCTATCGACTTGCGCCATGAGATTACTACTTCCATAACTCATGTTCTACAGCTATGGAGTAGCGTTGACCATCAATCTATGAGAGCATAACAAACCCAAACCCCAATAGCCGATGTATGGTACCCAATGCCAACATACTGGCAACATAGGAATACTCAAATCCAAATAACGTGTAGTGTTTATACTCGGAAAAATACCATCCCGTCAAGAGAATAGGGTTATAGCGAGGGGGCTGAATCTTCGCTGGAATCAGAATCCCGGTGTTCGTCGCTGGAAGTCAGACACCCGCTGCGAGAGTACGAACTACGATCTTCGTGGCTTGGGATAGAATGACCGTCTCCGTGATCAGCAGACGCACGATTGCTAGCATTGGTGCCATGAATAGCGGTTTGTGAATCCGGTATACGTATGACGCGGGAATCGTTTTCCTTGAGAAACAGGACCTTGAGGCAAAGAGGGCAAACAGTTGGGTGATTTTCTTCATCCTTCCACAGGAGAATGCGTGGTGGCGGGGCATCGACCAGCTTCTCAATCTTATCAATGTCATCAAAATCATCGCCGTCGTCTTTGCAGCATGCATAGCCGCAGTTTGAGCGGCAGAGGAATGAGACCAGGTAGCTGAGTCGCTCTTCATCTTCCATGTCGGCATTGTCCATGTCGGCATCCATCAAGTGATAATCCAACATTTCGTCGTCGAGTTGCTCCACCTCGTACACCGATTGCACGGGGCCACTCTTGTGCACCTTGATATCAACCAAGTGTAGGTAGGGTCCTTTACAATCTGGTGCATCCGTCCCGAAAGGTACCGCAGCAGCAGGGTTTTTCCAAAACTCTGAGTAGATCCTGGTGAACTCAGTGGCTAACAGGACGGGAAATCGTTCTCTTATGCGTTTCTCCTTTGTTGCTTCAAGTCAATCGTGGTGTACGGGAAGATAATCCAGCCAGGGTCAATTGTCAATGTGAAAGTACTTACCCTGTTCCTTCGATTCGATAGAACCTCCGAGAGGTACCGTCGGTGCATACGAAGCAACGCGATCATTGGTGCCCTCGCTGCCAGTCGCCGATTCATTCGCATGTTGTGACGCTGCAGATGACACAAGGAAAAACGGCGGGAAAGACCCAAGAGAGCAAAGATGTAGCATGTACCTGCTTACTATCATGTTTGGATCCATATCCGATGTAAGTAATTGCCAGTGTACCATCACAGCGTTTTCCATTATTGTAATCCTGTTGCAATCCCCCATGCCAATGTATTCTCGTAATTGGTCCATGATGGGACCCCACTATGGCCCAAAAAATCGATTTAAGCGTTCGGCATCATGGAGATTGTCCAGGAGGCCTTTGAAGAGGTTGAAGTCGCCCAGATATTGGTCCACTTCTACAGCGCGGCCATGTAGCTTCGAGATCAAGATGTTGCCTCTGGTTCCTGGGTGGAATTCTAGTGGGCGGATATTGAACTCGATAATCAAGCGTTGACCGAAATGTCTGCGTGCACATTGTTCGCCAAAGACATGATTACATCGTAATCTGACTGGCATCTCCGGACTGCCCGGTGCTGAATCTGAGATCTCCCCATAACGTGTTTCGCAGAATATACATTCTCTATTGTCATGCTCGACGGTCTCCAAAGGTACGGGGACCAGACTAGCCAAAAAGGTTTGCTCGGTAGGGAATGTATCCTCGTCTGGTGGGGGAAAGAAAGGGCGAATTTTCTCGTCACCCCATGATTCTTCGCTCGCCAGATCGAGGCTAGATAGAGAACCTGGTGCGGATCCTGCCCATGGCATTTCCATGATGATCCTGCTCCAAAAAACGGGTCTTGTGGATAGTTTTGGTTGTGAGCGATGGTGCGTAATACGTCCGACGCTGAAATTTGCTGCCTTCTACCTCGTGAACGTGAATATCGATGCGGAAAGGATATGAGTATCTACAGGAATTCAAGGATTTTGGGCACGCTATCTTCGTATACAGTTGGCCCGAGAGGCTGCTTCGAACGTGCAAAGCGAGGAAGGAGGTGTTGCACGAAGCGAATGGTGATGTTTGCTGACGTCGTTGTCTAGTCCAAAGCGATTCGCGAGTGTATACGGATGAAGAATACGAGAGTGTTTTGTCGACCAAAGGATGAGTCAGGACGGAGCTGTGCAAAACATAGATGCAGTGACGTTGCATCATGCTGGGCATTGCGCTTGCTGTGAGGTTTCTCGACCATGACCTCTTCCTTCCATAGTCGCTGCTAAAAATCCGCTCAACGCGTGTAATTATATTTTTGGTAACTGTGGAGACCTGGACACAATATGTCTAGGAATGGTAAGTTCGCGCAAACGTCGGAAAGCGAACAATCCCTGAGCACCCGCCGCTCTCCATTCACTCCTATCTATGTCGACCGGATTCATAGGGCGGCAATCACGGTTGTTCTTGAACCTGCTCAAGATGCGCGCTTCGCCTTCTTTCCCGCTCGCCCTTCCTCCTCATGCTCACGCGCCGTGTTTTTGCCGGCTTGGATCAGGGCCAATGCTTCCTGCAACAAGCGCTTCTCGCCTAATCTTACCTCAACAGCCATGCGATGCCTTTTGCCCAGACTTTCTTTACTGAGGAGCGATTCATCTTGCTCGGCTGAGGTAGGATATTGCCTCAATCTAGTCATCAAGGCTTTCTCTAAGACTGTATCGTATATGGCCTCGCTGCGCTTTCTCTTAGGATCTAGCTTTTTTAGAGCTTTCAGAAAAGCCCTTGTTTGTTCTTCGAGTTCAGATGATACTTCACGAAGCACTGGTGGCTGAGTCAACGTGCCATATGACGACGGCTCACCCGCGTCGCGTTCGATCACGAAAAACTCTTCCAGTTCTGAGTCCAGCTTTCTCTCAACTTCGCCCTTGATCGATGTCAGCGCATATCCCCACCTGTGCTAGCGGGTAACAAGAAAATACATACTTCAATGTCCGCAATGATATCTTCTGCTAGTTTCAGTTCTTCGGCAAGTGCTGTGCGAACAAGGCTCCAAGGAAGTTCCGCAACATCGTAACGGTGATGTTCAGGTGTCACGTAACCGTATCGTCGGAGTAGCTCGGATGAAGGCAAAGGCCCGTAGTAGTTCAATATCTCCGATCCGGCAGGGATGCTTTCGCAGAGGGAGGTGACGTGCAGCTGGTCACCATGGTGGACATGGGCCTACGAGAGCGCAGTGTTAGCATGACTCTTGTCGAAAGATTGGGGACTCTACATTGAATTCGGCGTTGGCATTAAGCATATCTGCCATGGGCACCATGCCCATCAGACTCTTGCCATCTCGATCCTCGATCCAACCATCCTCTTCGTCCTCGGATTGCTCCTCCTCATTTTCAAGGTCGAAAGCGTATGCCATGATGGTACTACCCATACGATGTGCGAGTGGGAGAAGGTCTTCTTTGTCTAGGCGAGGGGCGCCGGGCGGAAAAAATACATCTGGATGGCTTGTGATTATGGGCAGGATGCGCTCACGCAGCATTCGGTCGCTTTCCCCTTTTCCAATCTTTTCCGTTGTAAGAGACGTGCCTTCGAGTTCTTTTAACTCATTTGCTGTCCAGAAAATTGGGGTTTCAAAAGCTTGCGGGAGTATGTCAAGGTAAGTTTTCCATCGCGAAGCCTCACCCTGCAGGTATTCATAGAGCATAACGAGGATTAGTGAGCCCCATGAATCCAATGCCTCGGGTTCGTGGTCCTGGCTATCCCCGTTGTCGTCGTCGTCATCCGCATCTACGGGTTGTTCGAAGATCCCAGGAAGTTTCTCGGCAAGGTCTGACGTTTGTATACTGATGATGATGTTTCTTGGTATTGTGAAGAGAGTGGTATCCTCTGGAATATCCTGCTTCGCAACTGCATACTAGTCAACGCTACCATGACTCCTTGGCTGCGATGATGCTTAACGTACTGATACCGCGACCGGCGTCTTTGGACCTTAGGTCGCGAATTTCCAGAAGATCGTCGCGGAAGATGCCTCCACAATCCTTGAACCAGGCTAAAAACCGACTGCTGGCACTCTGGAAATCGGCCATGTCTTTGTCGGGTTGGTAGCTCGAGCTGGCAGAATGTTGGTCGAATGTTGCCAGTGCCCAGTCACCTGCCTGCAAATTCTGCGTGCCAATGGCCGAACGCGCGATGTACGTATCGTTTGGCACAGCAAAGTCCGCTCGAGATACTATTGCCAATGTTCCAGATTGACAAGATAGCAATGCCGCATGGACCGGTTCAGCTGGCTGTTACTATCCATACAGTATGCCTGAACGGAGTCTAGGTAGTGAGAAGCAAAACATCAACGATTGGCCACAGTGCATAGGCGCCAAATGAAGTTAGCTTGCCAAGAAAGACCGCCAGCCTTGGCGTCCGCTCGCATCCATTCATTCATCCATTCATCCATCCATTGCCCACCCTTTCTCCGCTTCATAGGTTCGTGACATTCGTCCTACCTATATCCGTATCTACTCGTGTCTAAATGCACATCAACATGTAGTACGACCAGACGAATTGGGACATCAAGGGGGCATGCCTGTTTCCACTTTCGGCACATGACTAGCCCAGACCCGTCGCGCTTCCGTGCCTTAAGCCCGATATCGCAACGCTTCCTGATATACCATGCCAGGCACCTTATCATGCAGGATCTGATAAAATTTTCGACTTGCACGGTCCACTTGCGCCTGCGACACTATGCCCTATGGCGACCCCGAGCCGTTAGCTCCTCATGTGCCATGGAAGCTTAGGGTATCAAGCATGATGTGAGGTTTTCCATGTACCGTGGATGTGCAGTAAGACCTACGAGGTACAGTTCAGCGTTTGCAAC